AAATGTTGCATCTCATTGAAAATCATTTTTCTCGCATGAAAAACTTACGTTTAAATATTAAAAGAATAAACTAAGTTTTTTTCAATCTGTTGAAAAGGATTTTCAATCTGTTAAAATCTCTTATCATAATAAATGGTCATACATAATCGAAAATTAAATTGATTGATTCACAGAATCAACAAGTTAAAATAACTCAATGAATTTTCAGTATCAAGTTTCGCATTTTCAATCTGTTGAAATGATTTTTGAAACAGAAATACCTTTTTCAGTCTAAGAGTTTTTAGAAAATCAATCTGTTGAAATATTTTTTCAATCTGTTGAAACAGAGAGATTTTTTTAACTAAGTGTTTGCAGGAATTTAATCTGTTGAAATGATCTTCAATCGATTGAAACAGAGAGTCGCCATTTTTCATTAAGTTGTTTTAATCCATTAAAACTCAATCAATCGATTAAATGGAACTTTAAATGAAATCAATCGATTGAATCGATGTCTTAATCGATTAAATGGAACTTTAAATGAAATCAATCGATTGAATCGATCTTTTAATCGATTGAAATAATACTCTGATCGATCATAGTTTTGTTCTAATCGATCATAACTCATTCTGATCGATCATAGTTTTATTCTGATTGATCATAACTCGACCTAATCGATCATACTTCTGCTTTAATCGATCGAGTCTCTTCTAAACCTCGTTTTATCGCTAACCAACTTATCTTTTGACTCTCTAAAACAGCTTTTTAACAGATGAAACGTTCGCTTTTTCTCGATTTACTCTATATATACAGATTTGATCTATCTTTTGAATATACAATACAACACACTACTTGAGAAAACTTGTGAAATCAATCTATGAAACTTTCATACGTGACTTTCTCTCGCATTCAAGAATCTTTTTCATATCATAAGGTGTCGTGATCGAATTGTGGTCATTCAAAGAGAGAAAGTGTCGATAGAATTGATTCTCGACAATTAGAAACTTCAAGTCCAGTGTTTTTTCTTTCCATATTCTTTTGTAAAAGTTTGATTGTGCAGGTTGGATTGTAATCTGCACTTGGTACAAGAATCGGATTTGGTTATCGGGTGGTTTTCAAGATTCTGTCTTGTGGGTTTTGCAAGATAGTTCTTGGGGTAGATTGGTGAGTATCTACTCGGTTGTAATTTTCACTTGGTATTAGTGGAACTTGACTGGTTTGTCAAGAACTGGATGTAGCTCTGATTAGAGTGAACCAAGTATAAACTTGTGTGTTAATATTCTTCTTTCATCTCTTTTAATTTCTGTCTTTAATTGTACTGTGTTTAAATCAAATTACCTTTGCAAAGATTGAATAAAGATAACTCATTCTTCCAAAAGAAAGTAAGATTTGCGAAAAAGTTTTAAAGTTCAATTCACCCCCCCTCTTGAACTCAACCATTAATTCTTTCAAAAATTGTATGAGAGGATTTACAATTTTTTCCGTACAAAAAATTGTATGAGAGGGTTTGCAATTTTTGCATGCAAAAAATTGTATGAGCCGTGCAAAAAATTGTATGAGAGAGTTACAATTTTCCCGTGCAAGAAATTGTATGAGAGGGTTTGTAATTTTTCCGTGCAAAAAATTGTATGAGAGGGTTTACAATTTTTCCGTGCAAAGAATTGTATGAGAGGGTTTGCAATTTTTCCGTAAAAAAAATTGTACGAGAGGGTTTATAATTTTTTCGTAAAAAAAAAAATTATGAGAGGGTTTGCAATTTTTCATTGTAATTGAATAAGAAAGTTTGCAATTTTTCTGTGTAAAAAATTGTATGAGAAGGTTTATAATTTTTCTGTATAAAAATTATAGGAGAGAATTTACAATTTTGTCCTTGTCAAAAATTGTAAATTGAGAAATGAAGAATTAGTAAATGTATCATATATGTGTGATTTTTCAGGTGAAGATTTCTTTTCTTCAGTCATACCAACAAATTCAAATTCATCTAGCTGTTCGCTAATTGCCTTTTCACTACTCATCTATTAGTATAATTCAGATACAAACGGTTAACCAAGGACTTCGTCATATAAAAGCTCTCAAGCTTAAAGTCCAGCTGCGGTCTTCTCCTTCGAGACTTGCCTCAACACCTTGTCACCGTGGCTAAGAACAATTGCACTGTGAGCCTTCTCTAGTAGCGCTTTCTTGTTCTTTTTCCGCCATGGCAGCATCAAGCTTGGATTCACCTTCCAGAGCTTCGGGAAGGCCTTGTTGAACCAGAAGGGCACGCATCTTGAACCGCCACAATCCAAAATCATTCAGACAAGTGAATTTATATCAACCTCATACTTTGCGGAAGTCATATTGATTGACTTTCACGTTCACCGCCCCAATTTGTAGAGGAAATTGCTCACTGAGAACACAAACCCACTTTAGACAATCAAGTAACGTGGTTTAATGGAAAATATTAATAATCATCTTAGTATCTAGCTCCTAATAATAAAAAAGATTGATACAGGTTCCTGTCTATACTACTAGACCGTTATAACTAACTCCCGTGAAACTCGCACATATAAACGAGAAGGTAGGTGAACAGTGTTTCTCATGACAGCATAGAAAACATCACTAGATGGTTTCTCATATCGGTCAGATGGTCTATGGAACCTTAACAAGATGTTTTTTTTTCTTCTTTTGCTGGATCAATCTTCACAATAACACATAATTTAGAGCAGAACATGCAGTGCAGTAATGAGAGATACATTTAATAGTTATTCAAATATAAATTTGGTGAGGCTTCAGGAAAACTAACTACTTGAATTTCTATGGAAATTTAAACCTTCGACCTTTCGAATTTATTCAAATTGTTTCTCTGAACTTTCCACAAGCTCAATAGTCCCCAAATTAGATCTCCATACAATCTCTACTCTTCCTCTCTGCAATTTCTCTTCTTCCTGTCTTGGACGTGCTTCGCTTTCTTCTTTCAATAGATAGGAAAGAAAAAGATGAAAAATATGGTACATTAAAATGAAGAAACCAGAAATAAGTTTAAAATATAGTGAAACTATTCTTTTAGTTTATGAGAAATAGAAAAAGGAGATAAAAAAGAAGAAATATTTTTAAAATTGATGGAACCTTGATAATTGATTATGATAATGGATTACTTGACGAAAATTTAGGATTTTATGCAAATAAGAATACTCACTTGTTAGCTATTATTGGGCAGAGGAAGCTCAGTTACAGTTATTTTTTTTGTTCAAAACTATAAACAAATAGAAGACAGTGAGAATTTTTCACGTATTTCTTCTTTCCTCTCCTCTTATCATACCAAACGAACCCAATGACACATTTTGGATAAAAAAAAACAACCAGATTTGCCATCCGAACGTTATGTTTGGACACATAATCTGACAATTTAAAAAAAATAAATATATATATATATATATATATATATATATATATATATATATTGAGTTTAAATAGTTCTTATTTCAATTTATTTAGTTTTTTAATTGTTTTGTTTAAATAAATTTATTGAAGTATAATTATTTTATTTAAATAAAATATTTTAATTACTATAAAAAAACAAATTTGTCATCGAATAAAAAAATAATAAATACAAACTTTAACATTTTTTTCATCCATGTACAATAGTTTAATTGAAAGACGTAAGAAAAAAAAATCTCAACAATGTTAAGCGTAAAATCATTCTTATCAACATTAACTAAAAAAATGACAGTCAATGTTTATCAAGAAAAATCTTGATTAACCTTGGTTAAGAAATAATCCTCTAAAAAACATAATTAATGTCCACTGTAAAAATTGTGTCTAACATCAATCTAAGTCTAAAATCAAAGTTGATGTTAACAAATAAATATATAACTAACATCAATAAAAAAATCAATAAAATCACTAAAAAAAACGTAGAATCGATAATACTTTAATCTCAACTAAAGTTAAAGTAAATGAAAGAATATAAACCGAAAAAAAAATATTAATTTAAAAGATGATGGAGATTTTCTATTTTTTATTTTTAAGTAAAATTTGAAAAATTAATCAAATTCTTATAATTTAATTTTTTTTGGAATTCTTCTTCTAAATAATATAATTTATCATTAAATATTTAAATTATTTATAAATTAAATTATTCTTTACAAAATTTTCATTCAAACAAACATTCAAGATAAGAAGTAAAAAGATAGAAGAATGTGAAAAATGAATGAGTGATCCATAAAGAAGATGAAAAGATATCACTTCAACCTAAGATGTCCTCCACTACGTTCCACAAATTATGCACACTGTTTGAAATAAAAATTTGAAAATTATAAAAAAAAAATAAACTATATTAAATTATAATAATTTTAATTACGAATATGAAAAAAAAAAAAAGCATAAGAGAGAAAGCAGGAGAAGGGAGTGGAAAATGTTTTGAACAAGGATGATGGGGGAGAAGTGGGATATTTATAAATAAAAAAAGGGAGAGGATTTTTTTTAATATTTATTTGAAGAAGGAGTGTAGTGTCTAAGTTAAACTTCTTAATTCTAAAATTTTGATATCTTTTTTTTTTTTTTTTTGTAATCAAACAATATATTTTATAATACAACATTCTAATTTTTCTAAAAAATTGTATAAAAATTTCTCATCCTCATGTCTCATAAACATGGTGGATCTTTTACATGTTTGAAGGTGAAGGTGAAGGTGAAGGAAGGAAGGAGAGAGAAGAGAAAATTGACATATTCATCATTGAAGCATCTTAGTAAGTTAGATTAATCAGTAACTGAGTGGTAACCAAAACAGAAACAAGTGGCCATTGCTTTAGAACTATTTGACATTTGAAAACAATTAAAATTTCTTAATTATTCTTAAATGCTCACTGATTGGTAATTATTGTAATTGGTAATTATTCTTAAATGCTCCCATTGCAATGCAGAGTCTGGAGTAGGCGTGTCTGTTTCCACACCTTTCCATTGTCCATCCTCTCCACATCATATATATCCTGCACCTTCTCATCATTCTCACACGATTCAACACCGCATTAGTTTTTTTCATCGTCATGGCCATGGCAGTTGCTTCTCTTGGCGTCCCTCTCCGTCCCCTCTCCCTCTCTTCTCCATCCTCAGCTCTGTTCCAGTCACGCCACTCCTTCGCCAAGTGTCTCGCATCAAAACAAAACGCACCACTGCAACTCCAACAAGTGAAATCCAGAGACAAAAAACAAATCACTTTACACTCCTTCTCTCCACTCCCATTGCTCTGCGCCGCCGCTCTTTTACCCGGAGGTCAACACCGTCTAAAATTTCTCTTCTTATTACTTAATTCATACAAATCTATACTCCTATCATACCGATGTTCCTAACTGATTTTTTGTTTACGATCTTGTCTTTTGATAATTGTTCCCGTTATGAAAATTATAATAATTGTTATTTTTATTTGATAATTTTTTTAGAAAAATGTAGAGATAGAATCAATAGCACTTTAATTATAATAATGAATTTGTGCTGTTTATCAACAGGTGAAGCCGTGAGTTCCGTTTTTGGGCCTTTCGTTGAGCTTGTGAAGTCGTGGAATCTTCCAGACTGGCTCGTCCATTGGGGTCACCCTGCCAACATGGTAACTAACAATAAGTTAATAACTATTATATGTTTGGAGAAGAAAGTAAAATAAGAAGAAAAACAAATTAGTGAAATTAATTTATATACAATAAGTTAATTTGTTAAGTTTTTATTGAATAGTTTCTTTCAATTTTTTTAATATAAACTATTTTTAATTCTTTTTTTTTCTTTCATTTTTTTTTTTTTAAGAATGCTTATGAAGAAGTTGATCTATTCCGTTCTACAAAGGACTAGTTAATGAATTTTGCTATTTTGACTTTCAGGCTGTTGTGCTGTTTGCCATGGGTGGCTATGGCACCTATCTCGGTTTTCGGATTCGTTATTCTGATAATGTGGTATACTTTTTAATCGCTTTCGCTTTTCACACTTACTGAGGTTTGTAGATTTTAATGTTTTAAATGTTTTGCAGGAGGAAAAGGCTAAGGCTAAGGATTTACACCCGAAGCTTTTAGCTGGTATGTTTTTCTTCTTTGCTCTTGGAGCTACTGGGGGAATAACAGCTCTACTCACTTCTGATAAACCCATTTTTGAGAGGTAATTTTTTAATCTCCAACTCTCTTTTTTTATTGCAAGAATTGTTTATTCATTTTCAATTGTCAAAAATATAATGAAAAAGAATCATGTTCCTGTGTTTATGTTCTGTTGTTTGCACACAGTCCTCATGCTGTCACAGGCGTGATTGGCCTCGCTTTATTGACAATACAAACTATATTGCCCTCACTCTTTGAGGTAATGCTTAGTTCTTCCTCTAAGGATAATTTCCTTTCCTATTTTCTTTCACTATTGGTTTTGAATCAATTACTCGCTGGTAGTAAACGCTGAAATTTGTCTAGTTTTAAGCATTGTCAAGAAGCAAGTAAACCAAATTAAATTTTTAACGGAATAGAAGCTTTACATCTTTCCATTTGTCCTTACTCTGGGTTACTTGAAAATGATATGCAGGGAAATCCTGGACTAAGGAATGTTCATGGTATCTTGGGTAGTGGTATCATGACACTTTTTCTAGTTCATTTTGCTCTTGGACTTCAGTTAGGCTTTAGTTTCTAATTACATCTTTCATTGGATCTGTCTTGTTATGTTGAGGTTATTTATTTATGGTGTCCATTCTTTCTTGCACAGGTTCTTAGCTCCAATTGTGAACTCTGATTACCATGATTTTTTGTTCTAGACTATCATTTTGTTTTTAAAAATAGTTCAGAGATGGCTACCTAACAACCTATATTTAACAAAAATTTACAGATCAATCACAAACACAACACAATGAATCCAGATCACAATTTAGTCTCATGCCATCACAAAATGATATAATTCAGATGACCAAAAAATATAAGCAAATAATCCAATAACATTTTAAGTCATTATATAATTTATTAAAAGTATAATTAATGTTATTGTTCATAACCAATGATCAAAATTTGAAATTGTCAAAATCATAAAATTGAACGTGTATAAAAATTATCAATCGTAAAATTTAATTAATTTATCAAAATGTCACATAAAAATTAATAAAATACGCCACATAAAAATTAACAAAAATATGGTGTGACGTATTTCTCATGTATATATGAAATAACTACAAGTTTTAAACCGAGGAGATCTTTGATAGGTATTAACATATTAAGCGTTTGAAATACAGTGAGCAGATATTAATGGGAGCAGCTAACAATGCAAAACTATAGTGAGATAACAAGTGGGACTAACTATTATAAATATAATAAAAATACAAATTAAATAATCAATAGTACACATAAATACTAAAAACACACGTAACCATCAACCTAGGAGCAATAAGAACATTGTAATGAAAGATGATGGTTTCTATTTGCATCAATGCTCATACTATCCAACACTTTGATCCCAATAATTTGATAAGCAATTTGGCAATGAGGTAGTGATTCTTCAGAAATATTTCCAAACCTAATTTAGCAACACTAATGGGGAATAATTATTGGGCTCTAAATTCTCGGAGATGGCAAGACCATATCGGTATTAACTAACGTGCCACATCCTACGTTTTCAATGCCTTTTTTTCTGGCTAGGTAAGAATTTTTTTTGTATTGTGTAGGTTTAGTGAATAAAACGAATGGAAAAGAATAAAATAAATGGGAAAAAATGGAAAGAATGAATATGAAATTAAATCAATCGTTATTCAGCTTATATTTAGAATACTAGTTCAAAATACATTTATAATAATGCAGTAACGTAAAATGTAGAAAAAAAAACTAATTTGAGATATTCTCTCCTAAAATCTAGGCACATTTACTTTGACTAGAAACTCTTATTCAACAACCAAAACAGAAAAATAAAACAAATAAAAATATCATGTGCAGTCACGTGCAGTCTAAAAATCAAATATCTAACACTCCTCCTTGGTTTTGGAACTGCAAACTCCAATCTTCTGCCTTAGAAATTCAAACTTGTTGAGTGGAAGTGGTTTAGTAAACAGATCAGCAACCTGGTTTTCAGTTTTGCAATAAATTAGAACAACAACTCCATCCTTTTGTACCTCCCTTAAGAAGAACAACTTAATGTTAAAATGTTTAGTCTTCCCATGAAAAACAGGATTGTGAGAAATGGCTATTGCAGCTTGGTTATCAACAAAAACTTCTGTACTTTCCTTCTGCTCCATGTTAAGATCAATTAGAATTTTCTTCAACCACAAGACTTGGTTAACAGCAACTGCGGCAACAATAAATTCAGCTTCTACTGTAGATTGTGCAACAATTTCTTGTTTCTTTGAACTCCAAGAGAAAACACCAGATCCAAAACTAAAACAGTACCCTGAGGTACTCCTCATATCATCAATTGAGCCACCCCAATCGCTATCTGAGAAACCTTTCAGTTTGAATTCTTCAGTTCTCTTAAACTTGATGCCAAAATTGTAAGTTCTTTTGATATATCTAATAACCCTTTTTGCAGCCTTGAGATGCATTTCACTTGGGCAATGCATAAACCTAGATAAAATACTTACAGCATTTAAGATGTCAGGCCTAGTTACTGTAAGGTACATCAAACATCCAATTATGCTTCTGAAAAATGTTTGGTCTATCTTCTCAGTTTCATCTTCCTTGCATAGTTTTTCCTTTTGATTCATTGGAGTGCTCATTTCTTTGCATTCTTCAACTTTGAACTTCTTCAGAATTTCCTTGGCATATTTTTCTTGAGAAATGAAGATTTCATGTTCTCTTTGTTTGATCTCAATGCCAAGGAAGAATGTCATTAACCCAAGGTCTGTCATCTCAAAGACCTCCATCATTTCTTTCTTAAACTTTTCCATCAACCTTGTGTTGTTTCCTGTTACAAAAGATCATCCACATAAAGGGAGATAATAATAATGTTAGCTTTATCATCCTTAATATACAATGTTGATTCAGCTAAGCTTTTGATAAATCCCAAGTTCAGCAAATGATCATCAATTCTGTTGTACCAAGATCTTGGGGCTTGTTTTAGCCCATATAGAGCTTTCTTAAGCAAATAAACCTTATCTTCTTCTCCTTTCTTTACAAAGCCTTGGGGTTGTTCAACATAAATTTCTTCTTGTAAGAAACCATTTAAAAAAGTTGATTTAACATCAAGTTGATAAATCTTCCAATTCTTTTGGGCAGCTACAGCAAGTAACAATCTAATGGTGTCTAATCGAGCAACCGGTGCAAATATATCTGAGTAGTCTACACCAGAAATTTGTGCATAACCTTTTACCACAAGTCTTGCCTTGTGTTTGTTGATAGAACCATCTGCATTTAGCTTAGTTCTGTACACCCACTTGACCCCAATCACTTTTCTGCTTTGAGGTTTTTCCACAAGAATCCAGGTTTGGTTTTTTTCGATCATTGCCAACTCCTCCTGCATTGTAGCCATCCAATTTGGATGTCTCTTTGCTTCTTCATAATCTGCAGGTTCACATACAGAAACATTGCATCTTTCATAAATTTCAGAGAGCAATCTAGTACCTCTTACTGGGACATCATCCACCAATTCATTTTGCCAACTTTCATCTTCATTTTGTTTTGTGTTTGAGGCAGATGGCTTGACCTCCATATCCATCTTCCTTTTACTGTCCCAATTCCATTCTTCATCCTCCATAAATTGAACATCCCTCCTAATAACTATTTTTCCAGTTTGGGGCTGAAAGACTTTATAGGCTTTACTGGTTGTACTATAACCTATAAAGATACCTAATAATGCTCTTTTATCTAGCTTATCTCGTTTGCTTTGTGGGACATGAGTAGAACACAAACAACCAAATATTTTAAGAAATTTCAAAGATGGTTTGTAATCATACCAGACCTCAAATGGTGTTTGGTCCTTCAAAGCTTTGGTGGGTAGCCTGTTCTGAAGAAAAACAGTCGTGCTTGCTGCTTCTGCCCAAAATTCCTTCGGTAAATTTTTTTCAAACAACATGCATCTTGTCATCTCCAAGATATATTGATTTCGCCTTTCACTAACCCCATTTTGTTGTGGGGTATAAGAAGCAGTCAGTTGATGTTCAATGCCGGAATTCTCACAAAAAAGATTGAATTTTCCAGACGTGTACTCAGTGCCATTGTCTGATCTCAAGGTCTGAATTCTTAAACCAGTTTCATTCTCAACTCTGGCTTGGAATTTCCAAAATATCTCAGCAACCTCTAATTTGTTCTTAAAGAAAAATATCCAACACATTCTTGTAAAGTCATCAATAAAGAGAATATAATAAAGATTACCTTTCAATGAAGGAGTTCTTTGAGGACCTGCAACATCTGTGTGAATTAATTGCAACTTTCTTGTTGCTCTCCAAGCAGTTTTTGAGAAAGGTTTTCTGTTTTGTTTGCCAAATTGACAAGCCTTGCAATTTGAAATTCGATCCTCAAGGTTATGAACATCAAGTGCCAACTCTTGTTTACACAACTACAGTAGTCCCTGGTGATGGTAATGCCCAAGCCTTTTGTGCCAGGTTTTTGTGACATCTTCCTTAAGTGAGAAAGCAGTTTGCTCCTCCTCCAAAGGATTTAGAGAAAAGCTTTTTCCTTTCATTTTTACCTTGAACATATCCTGTCCAGCTGCATCTTTAATCAAGCAATGTTTGTTTTCAAAAACAACTTTAAATCCTTTTTCAATGAGTTGACCAACACTTAATAAGTTTTGGTCAAGTTGAGGAACAAAAAGAACATCAAGAATAAATTTTGTCCCTGCACAACTTGTTATTGCAACTGTACCCTTTCCTCTAACTGTTATGTAATCACCATTACCTATTTTTACTTTAGTGACATTGGTTGGCCCCAAATATTTGAAGAGTGACTTGTCAAAGGTCATATGGTTGGTACAACCACTATCAATTAGCCAACTTTTATTGGACTCATTGCCCAAGAAACATGTAGCCACAAATAGTTGGTCTTCCTCCTCCTCCTCTGGATCAGCAATTTGAGCTCCTTCATCGTGGTGATTTTTGCTTTTGCAAATTATAGCTTCATGCCCCATCTGGTTGCACTTGTTGCATTTTGCCTCTGGTCTTCTCCAACATTTGAAGGGCGGATGACCTTTTTTACCATAATGTTGACAAGGTGGATAGGTTTTCTTTCCTCCCTTGCTTCTAAATTGATTGTTTGTTGAACTTACATTGCTTGATTCTTATCAATTTCATGATGTTTGACTGGCAAAACACCTTCAACAACATGATCTTGTCTCATCATTCTTCGTTGTTCCTGAGTTTGTAAGGCATGTAACACTTCTGACAAAGTGATATTAGAAAGGTCCTTTGAATTCGCCAATGAAGCTATAGATGCTTCATACCTTTCTGGTACAATTACCAGGATTTTTTCAACAATTCTAGAATCTGCAAAATCGTTCCCAATAACTTTACCTTGTTGAAAATATTTAGCAATTTGTCTGAATACTCTTTGACTGTATCAGACTCATTCATCCTTTGAAGCTCAAACTCCCTCATTAAATTAAGCACTTGCATGTTTCGAACTCTTTCATCTCCAGCATATTGTGTCTTGAGATAATCCCAAATTGCTTTTGCTGATTTGAGAGTCATGACCCTAGTAAAAACCGTGGTAGAAACCCCAGCAAAAAGGCATGACCTTGCCTTTGCTTTTCGGGTTTTTTTTTCTTTGTGTAGCTTGATATGGGTCATGGTAGGATTATCTAGCAGTGGAAGGACTTCATAATCGTCTTCTACAACTTCCCATAGATCCAAAGCCTCCAAGTAAGCCTCCATTTTGACAGCCCAAAGATCATAATTTTCGCCATCAAAAACTGGAGGTGCAATGTGTGAGAAATTTGGTTCGACATTCATATCCACAGGCCCGTAGGAAAAAAGCTCACGATACCAATTGTAGGTTTACTGAATAAAACGAATGGAAAAGAATAAAATAAATGGGAAAAAATAGAGAGAATGAATATGAAATTAAATCAATCGTTATTCAACTTGTATTTAGAATGCTAGATCAAAATACATTTATAATAGTGCAGTAATGTAAAATGTAGAAAAAAACTAATTTGAGATATTCTCTCCTAAAATCTAGGCACATTTACTTTGACTAGAAACCCTTATTCAACAACCAAAACAGAAAAATAAAACAAATAAAAATATCATGTGCAGTCTAAAAATCAAATATCTAACATATTGTCATTAAGCATTATGATCCTTAACTAAAATATCCTCAATTATCACCACCCTGAATTTTTAAAACTTTAGTTGTTGTGTTTGCATCCTATGTACTACACTACACAATTAATATTGAAGCTGATATATCTATGACATAGCAAAACAATAGGTTAATATTGAAAGTTTAATCTATTTATGGTTAATGTATCAGATAATTTCAAAGGTATAAGCCCTTGGGTTCGTTCTGAAGAAAATATTATATAAAGTTATATTTTGGATAAACTCTTTCATTTTGGCGTTTACTACTCTTACTCTTATTATTGTAAAGAGTAAATTGTTGACTCGATTGCATTACGTAAGATTTATTTTATTTATCTTTGTTTCAAATATTTTTATCAATTCAAATAAAAGGTAACTGATTAAAGTGATCCTAGAAGTTAAAGCAACGCTGGAAATGTAAACCTTCAAATCGAAGAGAGAAATATGCTATTAAAAAGGTAAAATTGTGTGAAATATGTTATAAATGGAAAATAATTAAATTAGACACAAAATGAGAGAGAGGGAGGAAAGATAGAACGAGTCTTTCGTATGTGTAATCATCTCTCTCCGATGCATATAACACTATTCATCTCATTTCTTTCGCTTCCTCTTAATTTTGCATCTCATCATTCTCCTTCTCAATCCAAAACTAAAGTAATTACGGTAATTATCTCTGTTTCTAATCTCAAATCAATGCATGTTTCTTATAGTTATTCTTTCTCTTCTCTCATTTATAAATTGCATTCAGATTTAATATTTGATTTTGTTTATGTGATACCCAAATATTCATATTCACCTTTTTTTTCTCATTCTTGGTTAATTACTTCGTTCACTTTTTCTGCTATATAATGTTATTGCGAAATGAATGTGAATTTGAAATGGGTTATACCCTTGATCCTTGTTGGATCTGGCACTTGGGGTCGGGACGTGATTCTTTTATTTTTCTAGGTTTATTTGAGATATTGAAACAATATAACATACTTTCTTTTCTATGTAGGAACATGACGAACGTGAAAAACATAATAATATGAAGTTTTTTTAAAACTCTAAATTTATGTAGGTTCAAGTTTTGACCAATACAAGGTTTTGTGATAAACAACAAACAATAATGTACGAAATTTACATAAAAGCCAATGATATGATCTTGGTGTTGTTACTTAGATTAAGTGGGTCGGTATGTACACTAGGCATTTAAATAAATAATATATGATAATATATGTTTCAACATTTAAACATAATCGAATCACAAATAATATTTATTAAACAATAAATTTGATGTTAAGAATAAATAATATACACTTAGAAAGCATTTGTATATTATTATCTAATTACATATCATAGTTTGTGATAATGTATTAGATTTATTTCAATTAGAATGAGATTATAAAAAATAATCTATTTTGTCATTAATACATCCCTCAATCAATCGGAAGTGTACATTTGGATTTTAATTAAGTTTAAAAGTATTTTAATTTTAATGTACCAAATTCTTCCTTCTTTATTTTATATACTAAATTTTGTTTTATTGTACATTGAAATTTATTATTCGTAGAAATGTATGAAATACAAGTTGTTTTTACGATTTCATTAATTTCTTCTATTCAATTCAATTAATATATGTACATATACATCACACCTTTTTACTTGAACAATAGATATGGAAACCTTCCTTTTCACCTCAGAATCTGTAAACGAGGGTCATCCTGACAAGATCTGTGATCAAGTTTCTGATGCCATCCTCGATGCTTGCCTGGAGCAAGACCCAGAGAGCAAGGTTGCCTGTGAAACCTGTACAAAAACCAACATGGTCATGGTCTTTGGTGAGATCACAACAAAGGCCAAGGTGAACTACGAGAAAATAGTTCGCGATACTTGTCGAGGCATTGGATTTGTATCTGCTGATGTTGGTTTGGATGCTGACAAATGCAACGTTCTTGTGAACATTGAGCAACAGAGCCCTGACATTGCCCAAGGAGTTCACGGTCACTTGACCAAAAAGCCTGAGGAAATTGGAGCTGGTGACCAAGGCCACATGTTTGGCTATGCCACAGACGAAACAACTGAACTAATGCCACTCACTCATGTTCTTGCTACAAAACTTGGTGCCAAGCTCACTGAAGTAAGAAAGAATAAAACATGTGCATGGTTGAGGCCTGATGGTAAAACCCAAGTGACTGTTGAGTATAGGAATGATGGTGGGGCCATGGTCCCTATCCGTGTCCACACTGTCCTCATCTCAACCCAACACGATGAAACTGTCACAAATGAGCAAATTGCTAAGGATTTGAAAGAGCATGTGATAAAGCCTGTTATCCCAGCTGAATACCTGGATGACAAGACCATCTTCCACCTCAACCCTTCAGGAAGGTTTGTGATTGGAGGACCCCACGGAGATGCAGGACTCACTGGGAGGAAGATCATCATTGATACCTATGGTGGATGGGGTGCTCATGGTGGAGGTGCCTTCTCAGGAAAGGATCCAACCAAGGTCGATAGGAGTGGTGCCTACATTGTTAGGCAAGCTGCAAAGAGTGTGGTTGCGTCAGGGCTTGCACGTCGATGCATTGTGCAAGTTTCCTATGCAATTGGAGTGCCTGAGCCATTATCTGTGTTTGTCGATACCTACAAAACAGGGAAGATTCCTGAGCGCGACATTTTGGCTTTAATTAAGGAGCATTTTGATTTCAGGCCTGGAATGATTGCCATCAATCTTGACCTCAAGAGAGGAGGCAACTTCAGGTACCAGAAGACGGCTGCTTATGGGCATTTTGGACGAGATGATCCTGATTTCACATGGGAGACCGTGAAGATGCTCAAGCACAGTGCCTAATTCATTGCATTTGTTGGTGTTTCCTAAGGTGGTTATCATCATAATCATCTTTCTCATTTTGTGTTAGGAAAATAATAATAATAATAATAATAATAATAATAATAATAATAATAATAATAATAATAATAATAAAGGATGTAGTTTTTGCTTGGCTGAGGACTTTGGAGCAGAAATGTGTAATCCTAAATGGAGGTATTTGCCCAATAGGACCATGCAACATTAGCTATCTACCTCCTTCCATTTTTGTTTAAATTTTTGCATTGGAAATGTTTGATGTACTACTTCAAAGTTACAAGAACCCATCCAACGCCCATTATTTCATATTTTTTATTTGAATTTAAAAATGATAAATTAGTTTTATAATAAAAAGAATGAATGTGAGAGAGGTTGAATGGGTGGCTTTAACTTTTTAGGGGTTTGTAAATCACAAACTCTTTTATTTTGTTTGCTGTCTTTTCTTTTCTCTCTTTTTTTTATATTCATTATTTTACCATCAATCTTGTGTGGTTGGGATCAACTTAGAATGTCATTTTTTTTATTCTTTTATCATATGTTATTTATAATTGTAGAGACTTTAGTAAGTGTCTTCTAAATTTTATATTTTATTGGGTGCACTCGATTAGATTTTTATTCTACCATTAACGAAGTGTTCTAATTTCGTACACCCAAGTTTTGGAACCACCCAGCAGACACCTGCTTATATGACATTTTTTTATCTAATCTTTTATCTTTCTTTTTTTTTGTTGTCGAGGTGACCAAATCATTATAATGAACTTAAAATAAAAAGTTAGAAACACATAGAAAGAAATTTGGGATTCCAAAATTTATACATCCTCAATTTGGTTGTGAGTGAGACAGAGACAGGGAGAGGAAATCGACATTGAAAAAGAATATCTCCATGTAGTTCCAAGGTCGTCGTTGTTGCTAGAGAGAGACGATATTGACTAACGTTGCACTCTTATTTTACTATTGTCATCATTAGTGTTGTCTTCTCTCCCTATGTCGTTGGCCTTTTGTTCTCAATGAGTGTTAAACGTGTTATTTAATGAATATGATTTGGATTGTTCCTTATGTTGTTGTCCTTTGTTTCCTGTGTTATAGGATTATATTGTTTTTCATTTACGTTGTATATTAGGATGATGATATATACTGTAGGACATCTTTGTTGGAGGAAGGGAAAGATTTTGGAGGCAAGTTTCGTTTTGAGTGGTCTTCATTTGGATGTTTTGCAAAGTAGTAAAAAAAAGATTTAGCCTTTTTGTTTTAATAAAACTATTTTGCTTTAGTTGTTGATAGTGGAAGAATGGTGTAATGATTGAATTTAAGGGTGAATTTGAAGAAGCTATCGTTACCCTTTTATTGTTATGTGTGTGAATAATTATTTTCATCTCTTTGATTTTGAAGATTGGTAAGAATGATGATGGTAAAGGTTGAGTGTTGATTTTGGGGTTTTCGGACATTGCACTTAATATTAATACATCTATAGTAATTTATGCAACACAAATTTAGTTCATGTTGTTGAAAAATATTATGAATAATGAGTAGCTTTCCTCTGATAATGCTACTTCATGTTACATCTCAAATATGTTTTCATGTATTGATTTTATCACACACTCACCTATTATGTTCTAGAATTGTTATGATGTGTTGAAATTCTCATGTAATTGTTTCTTAACTTATAATTTATTTGACATTGATGAATAATAATTTTAGGAAAACAAAAATTAACCTTCTTTTACTTTTGGGTTCATCTTCCTATGCCTCGAACCCCTTGCTTCCTTCCTCACAACCCCCACTTAGAAAACATGAAATTTTTGTGCTTCCTTCACCAACTTTAGTTGCACCAATATTTAGAACAAAATCATTAGACTTATGTGTTCTCAAATCTACTTTCGTTACCCACATACCTCTCTTTGTGACTATTACTCCACATACAATACTTTGTCCCATTGACAAGTATATCCATGTAATACTTTGCAAAAATTTTGGCTCACAAACCTTAATTTTGGAAATAGTATAGTACATAGGTGAAGTGTGTTGAATGTCTCAAATGACCAACCTGACATGGTTAACACCTTTCAAAATCATGGTTAATATAACACAAAATTGGTTAAGCTATAGGCTCCTTAGCACAATTAAATTTCAAGTCATTAACAAGTCTATCCATGCAATATTCTTCCTTATTAGTGGCTCACATACTTGGTGTTGACAAATAGGGGTATGTGATAGCTCTTGAGTGAAGTGTGTTAAATGTCTTATATGATCAACCTAACTTGGTTAACACTATTCAAAAACTTGGTTAATATAATACAAAATTGGTTAAGTGAGTGACTTCTCTGCACAATTCAATTTCAAGTCATTAACAATTCTATCTATAAAATATTTTACCTTATTAGTAAGTCTATCCAGGCAATACTTTACAAAATTTTAGGCTCACACACCTTCTTTTAGGAGATAACGGGATAGGTAGTACATGAATGAAGTGTATTGAATGTCTCATATAATTAACCTAACTTGGTTAACGCCTTTCAAGAACGTGGTTAATGTAGTACAAAATTGATTATGTCAATTATTCCTATGAATAATTGATTTTAAAGTCATTGATAAATCATTTTTTTGTTATCCCTTAGGCTCAATGACTATGATGTGGTCAAACTCACTTTTCAAGTGCACCATGCATACAAATGTAAGTGATTTATCTTCACTCAATGGAAAATAGAAGACTTAGCCAAAAATAAACAATGCCTACTAAAGTTTTTCCAAACATTTCATTATGCAACGAACTATTTTGCTTAAAGGATTTTGGACAATAATTGTTCATATTACACTCAACTTTCCACTAAGTGTTTTTTACAATTGTTGAGCCACATTTTTTATAATACTTGATTTGTAGGTTATGTCGAGCACCGATTGTCAACAAAGCGAATTTTTGATAGTGATTACTCATATTGTTCTCAATATTTTGTGAAACATTTTTTTATTGTGGATTAACATTTTCTATAATACTTGATTTGTAATGTATTTTGTTGAGCACAGATTCATCTACCTAGCAGATTTTTGGTAGAAATTGTTTAGTCTATACTCAATTTTTTTCTATGTATTTCTAACAATCATTAAGCAACATTTTTTGTAATACTTGATTTGTAGGGGATTCTATTGAGTGCTTGCGACATTCGCCTAGTGGGTTCTGGACCGTAGTTAGAAATATTATAGTCAATATTTCACTAAGTGTTTATAGAAATTGTTGAGTGATGATTGTTTTAATACTTGACTTGTAGGAAATTTCGCTAAGCAACATAAGTGTTTTTCTAGTAAATTTTGGAGATTACCCATACTCACAATCCTTCCCCGTTAAGTAAAATTTCATGATGTTTAATGTTTTCTCACAACTGATAGATATTTCATTGACTTGTGCATGTGATGCTTAACAAATGGTACAAAGTTTAAATTATAAACATTATTTTTTTTAATTAGCTTAACATTTGCTTTATGCTTAGTGAAATATTGTATGTTTCTAACTCATATACATGTTATTAATCGAATTTTTGTATGTTGAGTAAAGTGAGTCATAATGTATCCAACAAGTGTAGTGTGATGTATATGTAAGAAGGACACATGGATTTAAGTAAAAGTTGGTTAATCAACTTCTTAACTCAAGATAGTAATTTGAAAAACGGTACACAATAATAATGTAGTATGTTAACATAATTTATGACATTATTTTTCATGACATCATTGAACAAAATACATTAATTGCATTGTAAAAAAACATGCATTGTCATACATGCAAAAGTAACAAAATGTTATATCATTTTCCATATAGCTGTTAATATTTATAAAAAAATATGAATGTAACCTAAATTTATCTCAATATATCATCACATTATATTTCAATGGTCAGATGCATCTCAAACAAAATCATTGACTTCTCTACATTTTCATATAACACACAACAACAAATGTACTTATTGCAAATATGTAAAAATTGGGCTGACCAATTAAACAATTGTAATGCATTGTTAACATCACCAACAAATGTAAATGTCAAAATCATATTATTCCACAATTAGTTAACAAGTAAAATATAAAACATTATTGACAAATACAATAATATGAAATAAAACACTTATAATAAAAGATAATGTCAAGTAGATAAATACAATTGTAATCTTTTACTAATAGATTGACTCATTCAATAATTATGATCAAGTTATTGTTGTTGTCAACATTTTAAAGTAACACTGACATCAAATTTTTTAATGTGTTGACCTATAACACATTATACAAAAAATGTAAGTTACAATATTATATAATGTACATCAAAATAATTGAAGAACAAGTTTCTATTTTAATTTTAATTAATACATTACCATATAAACAAATCTTCCAAATTGAGTTTATAGTCATCTGGAAATATATAGACACAACAACAATAAAGACTAGACTAATTGATTTATCAAATTATTATAACTTAATTCAAGACAAACATGTGGGTTTATTAAGCCTTTTGGAATGTCTTCTGGTTAGAATCTTCTAGTCTTCTTCATAGTGCTAATTGAAACTCTTTAATATTGTTTCCCTAGTGTGCTTCCCATTATCACTTCTTCTAAGACTTTCTCAACATCTCATTTACTTCTCAATAAATAACTCAATTTTTACAATCCTATTATATAACTTTCTTTAACTTGTTTCTGCTCCCAGTCTTTAGTAATTTCCAATTATTCTTTAGCATTTGAAATATTTGAAGCAAAATTATTGAAAAAAACATAAATATTTAGTTCGGTGTAGAATTTGATCACCATATATTTTGCAATCTTTATTACAATAGAGAGAAATATATAATTCATTTCAAAGAGAATCCTCCATTTATTATATTGACAAATAAAAGTAAAGTAATTGGTATTGCAGGATAAAAAATTTATTAGTATATGACCAAAAGTCATTATTAGCAAACTAAATATACAACTACTTATATGGTATATGTACGAGGTAAAAGATGAGAATGAAAGAACCTTTGATAACAAATAATAGCAACCAATAAATTTTCATGACCACAAGAACATTATGTGTAATGGTGAACATTGTCTATATACAATTTTTAATCTGTCACAACTTTAGATCTTCGTTCTTTCAATTAAGGATAAAATGTGACATCGTGCTTCATGGGTGTCAAATGGGAATGCACAATCCAAGATGTACGTAAATCATTCGTTTTCTTATTAAAAATTGTTTGGTGTTTACAAGATGTCAGTAAAAAAAGTTATAAACATAATATCTTATATGGTAATTTTATAATACACCATATTGAAAACTTTGAATGATAATATTTTATTTATATATATATATATATATATATATATATATATAAAGATAATTTTTAATTTTATTATATTTTGACTCTTCTAAAAAAATTTTAACATCCAAAATATTAAGTGAAACTCCATGGTTATATTTAATACATGTTTTGTATTTGTTTCAAGAAAACGATAATATGACTGGAGATCAATATCTAGAAATACATAATTTTTTGTTTCTTAAAACATTCTCCCCAGATGCTGACGAAAATAATAACTATGACTTTAGTATTTTTAAAAATAATAATGTACTAAACTAAACACATAATAGAAAAGTAGTATTACAAAAGTAATAAAAATAAAACCTACATAAAATGGATCTTATAAAAGAAAAGTCAAATTGAATATTTTAGATAGATAAATTAATAACCAGAACCTTAAAGCTTAAACCTTAACTTAACTTGATAGCACAGATCCCTGAAATACAAAGGGGAAAATAGCATAAAAGAAACAGCCAATTATTATTTATACATTACAATAGGTGCGGCCCGCAGAAATTTGAAATACTATTTTAAAGTTTGTTGTTATAAATAAAGTATTAAAAGTAATCAATAAAAGTGAGCGTGCCGGAGTGGTTATCGGGCATGACTAGAAATCATGTGGGCTCTGCCCGCGCAGGTTCGAATCCTGCCGCTCACGGCCCAACAATTTTTCTTTATTTCTTATATATTTAACTTATTTCTTTACTATTGTTATCGTAAAAAAAAACTAAACCTATTCCAATTCAAATCCTTTTTTTTAGAATGGATTGAATATAATTTAAATTTAAAACCAAACTAATTAGAAAATATATTTTTTATTTTAATATCACTCATTCATAATTTTTTTGTATATTTATGTTACCTATTTCATGTGTCATACTTATTTATCAAAATATAATCAATAAAATAACTTTGACAAATTATAAGTAAATATATTTACATATAATTATTAAAAAGATTATTAATAACTGATTTTAAAAATATTAGTCACGTTGGGACTAAGACACCATCTAGACTCTTTCCTAAATTTTAAAGTATATATAAATTTGAAAGAATGATATACATGTACAATAATTTAAAAGATTTCATTATTTAAAAAAAAATCATTAGTACTGTTATATTTTTAGCATTTTAAAGTGAAATATATTTTTATGTATTATTCTATTTGATAAAATTATTGTGTGTTTTAATAGCTAGTGTTAATATAACAATAAATTATCCAATATATATGGTTATTAAAAATAGTAAACAAATTTATTATTTATTACATATAGATAGATATAGATAGACAAAATGTTAAATATTTAGGGTACGTACTCAAATTCATTATATGCAGCAAAAGTTATATAAAGTAGTAAAAAAAAATCCAAACCTACTATCATAGTATCAGTAAATTTGAAAAATAACAAGTTTTAAAATAAAAATGTGTAAACTACTCGACCTATAACTTATGAAAAAGTAAATCGGATTCCATCACCATTTTCCATCATATATATTGTTTTTAATAGAATTTCTAATAACTAAATGGAATAAATAGACTACTCCGCCGTTTTCATCTTGTATGCTATTTTTCATAGAATTTCTAATGGCTAAAAATGGTTTGTTTCGAACACAGTTGGGCTTAATTTAAAACCGTGATTTTTTTGTCTGATTTATTTTATAAACTTTTCAGACTGATCAATTAGATAAATCTATTTTGATAACTCTAAATTGTAAGAAAAAAGAGGACAAATTGAAAAGATACTATATCCAATTTAACTAAAATGTTAACAATGGATTATTCTTCATCAGAACTAATTACTATGGAAGACTGAACCACTAAACCACTTAGTTAAGGCACACAAACTACTACCACTAGTACCAACCGATGTTGGTTATCGTGCCTTGGAATATGATATGAAATATAAATTAAATAGTCTTTTTTTTTCTCAAACACAAGCATGAAAATTGACCAAATCGAACTTCAAGTGTTAGAAGGCTCATAACAAGCATCATAGTGCAGGGTTGGTTATTTGTCCAAAATACTTCAACATTGATTTTATGACTGAGTAACAATAGGGGAATAAATACATCTAATACAGTTCTGTGCTGGACTTTATTTCCTGCTCCTAGTGGAAGTTCAATTATAACAAGAAAATGCATCTATTCTCCCATTCACTTTAGTACTTCCTTGGTCATTGGAATTGGACTTGCTTGTGAAGGTCAACTACCAAACTAATTGTTGTAATTTGAGTGCCAACCAATGTCAATACTAGTAACCGAGAAGTGAATATATAAAGACTTTTTCAAAGAATTTAAAATCATTTCCTCTAAGGAAGGACCAAAGATATCAAACAGTTCAAGCCTATTAACAGAACTAATAGGAAAAAAGAGCCTAGAATACAAACTAGAAATATACCACTCAATTATCATCCAAGAAAACCAACAAATCAGTAATTGGATTTTTCTTTTATGGGTTACATATGATAAATTAAGTTCATAGATAGAAGATGAGAAAAAGGAAGAATGAATCACAACTTCGAATTTCATTATAATTTTGTTTCAGTGAGAAGCCAGATCAAACATTGTTGACAAAAGAAGCTGAACTAAATAAAAATTATATAATCTCACCTCTGAGGTGACAATTTTGCTTACCGAAAAGTAAAACATGGTAGCTAGGCCAACATCCTCGGTAACAAAATAGGGCTGATGTGTATAACTATAACAAAAACATGGTAAAAGGAGCTAGCCAACCTGTCAACCTCTTTTCCACTTTCATTATCAATTCATGCGATGCAATGCAATGATATGGCTGTCTGCGTCCTTGTGAAAAAATGAACACCATGCTCCCTTGCAGCTACGACAAAAGCTGATTCATCTAGTGACTCAGCTTCTATGAAGGCAGATGAACCCTCCGTATCCATTCCAGGAAAACATATCTCAATCATTGATGCAAATGATAACCTTTCATCTTAGATACAACATATGAAAAGATTATGAACTTGACCGAAAGAACAAACTTTCCGGTAATCACAAATATCTTCGAAAGTTACAGGACACAAAATCAGAAGATAAATATCAATAAACTATTAAACTAATTATGAAAATAATTAAAAAATAAAATAAAATAGGGATTAGACCTAGTCAATCAAGCCATGTCCTTCTGACAAGCCAAACTTCATGAAGAACTTCTTCTTATTGCAATCCAACATTTCACTCAAGCTACTACTACTTAAATTCCTCGCCTTTAGAAGTTTGTACCGTGGCTCTATTCTTCTCTTCAGGCCATGATGAAAGAAACAAGGATAATCAACAACTTCATCAACTTGTCTTCCCATTACATCTACTAAAAACTTCATCCTCGGCTCTAACGAATTCTGGATGCTCTTGATCAGGATAGGAGGAAAACCAACCACCAAAGCAACTATCTGTCTGTCTTGAAATCCACATTTCTTTAGATACACATAATTGGGTACCAAAAGCTTGTTCACATCTCTACTCAAGATTGCTGGGAAGGTCAGAGCCACTGCTTGAAGATCCTGCTCACTCAGACCTATCGACTTGAGGAACTGTGAAGTAGGGCGGAGTCTTTTCTCAACACTATAACCCATAATATAGGGGTCCTTGACAATAACTTTTCCGATCATTCCATCCTTATTGAGGCCAAGGCTAGTAAGGAAGTTCACAATTTCAGTCAGCTTTGTTTCAATGCTGTAGCTGATAAGCCTAGGGTTGAGCAGTATCATTTTCCCAATATGCTTTTCAGGGATACCCAAAGCCTGAAAGAAAGCCAAAAGGGGACAAAGCTTCTCTTCCACACTATTTGAGAGTATATGAGGGAACTTGGCTATGGCAGTAGCAACCTCGCGTGGTTTTGTTCCCAGTGTCCTGAGACACTCAACCGTGGGCATAATCTTGTCATAAAGATCCAGCGCAAGAATCTTAGGGCATTTTGAAACAATTGAGGGCAATTTTCTTTCTTCAATGCCAATGCTTCTCAAATACTCCCAATTTTCACTTGCTCTTTCCTGATGCACATCCTCGAGGCGCCTGCACCTTCGGAAAATTCCTTGCACACTGTTGTCATCAAACCCCTTATCTTTGAAAAACCACATCATGCTGCTGCAGCTGTTATTGCTGCTCGTGATCTCCATTTTACTCTAAACATAATTTATTTTGATAATAGAAAAACAAAAAATTAGTTTACATATGCGAACACCAACAGAACAAGAAGAGTAACATGTAGCTCTAAACTTAGTGCAATTCAAATTCAAATGTTAAACAACGCTTTGTTCAACCCAAACAGATATGTTAAACAGTTGATTCACACTACAATATTGCAAGGGACAAAACAAAAGGGTAAAACAAAAAAACAGTCTTGAAAACATGTTTGAGTTGGATTTTTTGCATTTACAGATTACAAATTGTTAAAGGGAAAATAGAAATGGATATGGTGTTAGGAACAGTTAGTTACCGAGAGGTTGTGCGGTATGCATGCGTGGGAGAAAAAGAGGGTTCAACACTAACAGTGAGGATGACGAGCGTGGTATTGGAGAAAACTTCAAGTGACCAGAATGAAAGATAAGGTGTCTAATGTTCCCCTGGTTTTTTGCTGATATTTGGACCGTGGGATTAATACAATCGTTGTGATTTTGACACGTGTCCAATTATGTAAGGGTATCGAATGCATACTAGCTGCTTATGAAGCAAGACCTGAGTTTCACTCTAATTAAGCCTTAAACATGTTATGAAAAGATTAATTTTAATAATTTCATCTGTTTTTTATTATAACTTGATATTTATAACTTTAATTTACGTTTGAGACTATAAATATTTTTTTTAAATTAAAATTTTAATTTTTAAACTATGTTATGATTCTGAAAATTTTGTAATTCATAATAATGTTTTTAAATTATATATAGAGATAGAAATACATTTTTTAAGTAAGAAAAATAATTTTCATCATTATTTATATATTTATAATTTAATATTTTATAATAATTTATCTTAATTATAAATAGTTAAAATTAATTTTTGTTGATTTATGGTTTTTCAAAAAGTATATTGAAATTTATTTTATGTAGATTATATATATAATTTAAGATTATTTAATATTTTATCTATACAGATAAAAATTTGTTTGATTTGAATTTTAGATTAAAAAAACAAAATACGTATTATATTATATTTAAAATTAATTAACAACTAGCAAACATATAATTAATGATTTAATTTATTTTTTAATATATTTATAATTATCAAAATAATATAATATATTTATAATATATTTTTTAATTATAGGATGATGTAATTTATTTATAAATTTGAGATAAAATTCAAATTATGATTTTAACAACATTTATATAAAATAAAATCCATAGCATATCTCTTTATAATTTTTTATTATAAAATATTTAATATATTTTTTAAAATATTTTAAAGTTTTACCTAGGATTATTTGTTTTGTTTTAACCATTGATATTATTAAAATTATTTTAATTTTGATTCAAATAAGCTAATTTCATATCTTTTGAAATATTGTTTTCATAAATTTAAATTAAATTTTAGAAAATGTGAGGGTGTTAAGTTTTTGTGACAAATAAATATTCATGAATGAGATTACTAGAAAATTATACGAAAGAATATGAATTTTTTTTTATATATACAAAATCTTAAGTTTACAAGTTTGTAGGATTTTATTTCTTATATATATTACTCAACTTTTCAATTTTTAATTAATGCACATCAACTCAATTAAATTTCAACATCTCAGGAAGAATTTTAGTAAGAGATTTTTAGTATTTAATAAATTAAAGTAGATTAATAAATTAAGTACATCATATGAAATTTAAAAATTCAAAATAAATCTAATTTATTTTTCTTTTTCTCGTCTTTTTAGTATCTAATTTGTGTGTTTAGTGACATTTTCTTTTTATTTGCAAGTATTAGTTTAATCATTTTTTTTATTTGATTATTACTTTCTTACTCTCTCTTTTCTCACTTATTAGTTTCAATTTTGCATCTCTTTCTTGATTTTATTTGTTTTTAACAAGGAAAAACTTCAAAGTTAAGAAAAAGAGTAAAAAAAAAAATTAAAAATCAAATTAAGTGTAAACATAAGTGAAGCTAAGAATTATTGTAAACAAGTGAAAAAAAAATGATGAAATTCATTTTTGTTATTGTTGACAATTTCATTAAATTATAATAAATATTAAAAATATGAAATATATTTTAAAGAATAATAAATTAGTCGTCAATAATATTTATTTAAGAAAAATATAAAAAAATTAAAAAATATTTGTGAAATTAAATTTACAATTCGATAATGGATTATGAATGAAAAAAAATATTAGTACAGTATAATATCCCTCATAAAACTGTTATTTCTAATTGATCTCTAAACATTAAATAACTTTAATAAATATTTATTTTACAAGTAAAAAAATTAAGATTAACTAGAATACTTCTTTATTATTTATTTAATATATTTATTTTAGAAATTGGATACTATTATTATTAGATTAAGATATAATATTATTTCTAATGTTTTTGTCTCAACAAATATTACTTTTTCTCCTACGAATTGTTGAAATCAGTAGAAAATGAAAATTATGTAATTTTTTGGTCAAAGATATTTATAAATGAGAAATTTTAATATTATTTAATAATTTATTAAATTTTTCTTATATAATCCAAATAGGAAATGACACCAAATCGAATAGTAAGAGATGAAATACCATTATTGACTGATAGAAGAGAGAGGTATTGGTGGCTCCGAGAAATCGGGTGGCGGGCTTAAAAAACATGGAATGTGTATGGATTTTTCGATATGATAGAAAGGGAAAAGTTTTTTTTTTATATATTTATATTTCTTTTGTAAATTAATATTTTTAATTAATCTTTATTAATTTTATCATTATTATATTTTTATGATATTTAATGAAAGAGGATAGTGTGAGGTGTTTTCTTAAAAATAGTATTTAATGCTTTTAAAATTGAACCCATAATTAAATTGAATCTAATTATATTTAATAAAATATTATTTTTATAGTATAATATGTATATAATAAATTCATCATTAATAATTTTTTATAAAAGAAATAAAAATAATGAAGATTATTATAAAATGACAATTATAAATATAAATTAAGTAAAAAAATAAAAAATAGATAATTATTAATGTAAGATGAAAATATAATAAAATTATTATTACTTAAATTCAATATTGAATAATATAAGATAAAAAAATTAAAATTAAAATTGTTATACTTTTTATTAAAAAATGAATTTAAATTTTTATAAATTTTTATTTTTATTTTTTTTTATCAAAATCGGTTTGACCAAAAAATTAATTTTATTATTATTTTCAATGTTATACCAATTCAATTATTTGAAAGCAATATATATGATCATAAAGGGTGAAACTAATCATTCTCACTTTTCAGTGAGAGAGCTATCTAGAAGTTTACTTAGATTGAGATAAAAAGATTGAATAACTATTTTCCTATATCATAACTAAAGTAAAGAAACAAAAGTGAAAGTACTTGCAATAAATTTTTTTAATTATGATTTAATTTGGTTAAATTAATTTCAAAAGTGATAGAATAATGTATAAAGAACTTGAGGTGAATATTTTGATGAAAATGAAAAATGCTATGAAAAGACATTTTGTTCCTTCACATTATCAATTTGATGTGTGAAACATCTCACCCATGGAAGAAAGAGTGTTGACAAGTATTTTAAAAAGATAAAGATATGCATAATTAGAACCTATATGAATGAAGGAGGGAAATAATTATTGCGCATTTGGTGTAGAAAATGAATTTTGACGTTAAAGATATGATGGAAGTATACTATTGTGTGGAGATGGAGGACACATATAGCCACTAAATTAGAACATCAACTTGAAAGAAATTGGGTAAAGAAGATATTTTCTAATTTTTATTCTTCAACTTGGAAAGAAAAAAAAGAATGAGGAAGGTATTTGTTGTATTTCAAATTACTTATTTTAAGACTAAAAAGACCAAAGAAAAAATGATAAGTAGTGATATAAAATAATTAAGAACTTGGAAAGAGAAAAGTTGTAGAATGTCATGCTAAGAAGATTATATTTTACTAAGAAGAATAGAAATATCACCCATAAATATTTTCATTTTAAATCATCTAGTGTTGAAAAGTGTGAGAATGAGCGGTAAGAGATTCTAGAAGGAGTCCGTTGTTAAGAAGATGTTGGAGGAGTGATTAAATAAAACGAGGGGAGTCAAGGAAAACATATTTCATTCTTGGTGTTTTATTAGAAAAAAAGTGTGTTCGTTTATCATAGATTAAGGGAGCTGCACAAAAAGTTAGCACTATATTGGTGATCAAAATTAATTTAAAAGCTAAATATCATTTAAAGTCATATAAATTTCAGTAACTTAGTGAGAAATGGGAGCTAAAAGTAATTAATTAATCAGATATTGACTTCACTATTGAAAAGTATGAAAATAAGATTTATTGTGATATAATTTTCATGAAGGTGAATCGTATGTTACTTGAAAGGCGTAACACTTTAACAAAAATGTTTAACATAATGATCACACTAATAAATATACATATTTGTTTATAAAAAACACAAAGTCATCTTGTTTTCTTATTACCTAGAGAGATTGATTCAAATAAAATGAGAGCACAATGAGCAAGAAAGGAAAGAAAGAAATAAAATGTGAAAGTTAGAGGAAAATAAATAAAAAAGAAAAAATTTATAAAAAGTGGAGAAAGAAAGGAGAGAGAATAGACCTTGTTTATAAAAATGGAAGAAGCTAAAGAAAATATTTTTAGCAAAGAAATCTATGTATTTTTTTTAACAAAGAAATGGTTCTGTTAAATATTGAACTTGAATTTTAAAGTGAAGTTCAACCAATTTTGTAAGAGAATGAAATGTCTTTTCTAAATAGATACCAATGGAACTTTAGTTTTTAAAAGATATCAACCATCAAATTGATTTGATTATGAGAGTTGTGTTAACTAATGAGACAACCTTCATGACTAATTCCCAAGAAAACAAAAAATTTAGAGACAAATTAGTAAAGATGAGGAGAAAAGTATTTGAATCTTTTTGTGTCTTTATAAATCTAATTGTAAAGAAGATGTTAGTTAGAAGATGGGATTAAATAATAAAATTATTAAAAATATCCACGTCAAATACAAACATTCAATTTCTTAATTAATTATTTCCTTAATGTATTATATAGTTTTTTTTTAAATTGATTTTAAAAGTAATTACAATTAAATTATGATAAAAAAAAGTTGAGTATATGACAAAATTTGAATTATATGAATAAAAAATATGACTTTTAGATTAAAATAATACCTTCATAAGAGTAATAAATCAAGTTTTGATAGAAATATATATATATATATATATATATATATATATATATATATAATCTATTTTGATGATATATAGAATCTATATAGTAAACTTCATAGGATATTTTAAATATTTGAAAATTATGTTAATTTAGATAAATGTTATTGTTGCAAAGACAATGTAATTTTCTTAAATTTTGTTAATTTTATTGATATTTATACCAAAAAAGGAAAAAATAAAATTAATTAAGAAATGACCTACTAAAAAAAATTATGAGTAAATTGAGGTGTGTTCATATACTAACAAATTTCTTCAGAAGATTCATAAAAAAAATTAATACGAGATAATAAAACGTGGTACAAGATAGCAAATAGTATTTAGATTTTTTTATTTTGTATTTTCCCAATAGAACAATTCTAACAAGGGATATCCATCATTTATTAGTTTATTAAGTCTTATTAATAAGCTTCTAAGGAAAACTTGTGAAAATGAACTTTTGTTTAAACCTATTTCACCAAATTTCACAATTAAGCTTAAGAACGCTCTCATTTGATCAATTTATTAAATAAAGAATTAATTAAACTATTTACCTAACCATATTCTTAATCTACATCAAACACAGCACTTTTTATGCGCTAATAACATGCCCAACAGATTTAAGTCCCATATCAACGCTCCTGAGCATCAGCTCAGTCGCTTTGGCCTCGGGGTGAGACATGTCGCCAGCCAGAAATTTGTGAAGGGCTCCATTCACCTCCACATAGCTCCAACCAGGTGGCTTCTGGATACCAACATCATCAATTGCCTTTCTCACACTTGCAGCTTCATCATGCTTATCCATGAGAGTTAGCATATTAGATAGCATCACGTAACGGGCTCCATGATCATGCTCCATCGCAAGAAGCTGTTGGCTGGCAAGTCTAGCCAATTCCACATCTCCATGTACTTTGCCAGCACTCAACAGTGATCTCCATATCACAGCATTGGCCTTGAACGGCATATTCTGAATCAAACAATATGCTTCATTCAAACGACCAGCCCTACCAAGAAGGTCAACCATACATCCATAATGCTCCATTTGTGGACTGACACCATACACAGTCAACATAGACTCAAACAGCCTCTTGCCATCATTAACCAAACCGTTATGCCCACAAGCACATAATAGTGCCACAAATGTGACCTCATCCGGTTCTAGTCCTAGCAACCTCATCTCTTCAAACACAGCCATAGCATGTTCACCAAGGCCATGATGAGCAAGGCCAGACAAAATAGAGTTATAGAGAAAATTAGTTCTCACATCATCACTTGTTCTACAAAACACATCCAAAGCAGTGTCTATGCTTCCACACTTGGCATACATATCCACAACAGCACAAGTGAATCCTCTGTGCCGACCACACTGCCAACTCCCACTATCATACTTGTGGTGAATCTTTCTTCCCAACTCAAGGGCACCTAGCCGCGCACACGCCGAAAGAGCAGAAACTACAGCAACCTCGTCCGGTTCCATCACCAAACCCTCAAACTCCACAAACAATTCCAATGCTTCCTGAAAAAACCCAGCATGACAGTAACCACTAATCATAGCCGTCCAAGAAACCACATCTCTCTCACCCATTTGATCAAAAAACCTTCTCGCAACCTCAACTTCCCCGCGCAAAGCATATGCACTCACCAAAGAAGTCCAAGCCGCAATACCACTCTTCCCATTCGCACAACTCACAACTTTCTCAGCCACCTCCAAGCACCCACATTTCGCGTACATATCAACAAGCGCATTCATCAACAACTCATTCTCACCTACACGACCCAATTTCCTATACACCAAGCCATGCACCACTCTCCCAGTCCCATTATCCTCCAAGGACGAACAAGCGGACAACAAGGCAACGAGGGTATACTCATCAACCTCAAAACGATTGTCTCTCATCTCCCCAAAAACCCTCATCGAACAACCAGCACGACCCGCTCGCACAAACCCATTAATCATCGTGTTATACGAAACGCAGTCCCTCACAGGACTTCCATCGAACACCCGGCACGCATTGCGAGCATCCCCGAAAACAAAATATAATTGCAAGAGAGCGTTGACAACGAAAACACTTGACTCAAACCCACTTTTTATAACGTGGGAGTGAAGCTGAAGAGCGAGTTTGGGAAGCGATAGCTTGGCGCAGGATTTAAGAAGGAATGGGAAGGTGAAGGAGTCGGGGGAGATGGGCGGGGAGGAAGAAAGCATTGACCTGTAGAGAGAGAGGGCGTGGTGGGGGGTGTGGGAGAGAGAGAAGGCTCTGATGAGGAGGTTGAAGAGGAAGAGGTCAGGGTTGGGGATTTGGGAGAAGAGAAGGTGGGAATGGTGGAGGTTGTTGGTGGCGAAGAAGGAGATGAGTGGAGTCATGAGGAAAGGGTCGTGGTGGCGCCCTATCACCACCGTGTGGGCTTGGATTTGGAGGGCTTGCCGAATGGTTTTGCATGATGCTAACACTGCTTTCAAACTATTCATTTTTTGTTCTTCTTCATGGTGCTAATATACATACTTCCTTCCTCCTACGCAGTAACACAGTCACAACTAAACTACCACTATCAATTATTAAGTCCCTTTTTCGATTTTACACCACATTACAACCCTAGCGTCTCGTTCCTTCCCTCCTCGGAAAGAGATTGTAACCCAGCTTTGTTATTCTATCGATGATTTAGATTTTAAATGACAGATTCGAACATCCCTACTCCAAGTTCAAGTCCCAACCAATCCCATTTTTATAGTGCATTGCTAAAAAAAAATGGGGGAAAAAAGAGAACGTGATGCATGTAATAAATAACTATGACAGCTTAATTATAGCTTGAGTTCGAATGTGAGTGAAAAAACGCCTAACCCATATTAAATCAAATTTTAAAAGATAAAGATGTGCTTTTTACTCTAAATAATATTTGAGGTTATACTCAATCTTTTATACAAAGAGTATTGATATTTTAACAACAAAAACATAAAAATATCCATTCAACAACTTAATTTTAAATTTTTATATTCTTATTTATTTACCTTATTTTATTCTCTCTTCATCAATAAACCAAAAAATAATATTTCAATATTATCTATCACATGTTTGGAAACATTAGTTATCAAAATAAAATTTCCTATAATAAAATTGTGCATTAAATTTAACACAGATTACCAAGATAAAATTTTTATTCTGATTAAACATCAAGACTAAAAGTATATAAGCTTTTTCCAATATCAAAATCAGCCTAACGCAATTTTTTTTATTGTTTTGCTCAACAAACGCACCTATTGCACCTCTTTTACGTGACTAGTGACCAATCTTAATTATCAAATCATTTGTATAATTTGAATACACCTTTTTCAAACAAGTACTGAAAGGTAGAGGATCCACACATGTTGAGATTGTCCACAAAATAACAAAGAAACCATATTACAAAATCTTGGTTATATGGATGATTAACAAATCTTGAGGTATTTCAGATTTAAATTGCAATAAGCTAGTTTTTGTTACCAAGAGAATAAACTTCACTATCATTTAATAATCAATCCAATGGTAAACGGATCATCCACCAAACGGGTTTCATCAGCAACAATCGGCACAATTGCAAACAAAACCGTGCAAGATTCTTACTGAAGCTTACAATAATATGAAATTTAATCATATAGGCCTTCTTCATGCCAAAAATCAACTAAAAAATCCACCATGTCCTGCACAAGCATAATCCAGCATTTTTTCACGAAGTTATCCCCAAATTTGATAACAATTAACGAAGACTACATCTTTTAAGAACTTACAGTTAATGATATTGGCTGCTGAAAAGGCTCTGTAGATAAAAGCAGATCCTCATAACTTGTTGTCAAGCTGCAAGAGATGTCCAGGTTACTGTTGGCAAACATAACATGCATATATAGAGTTTCACAAAACACTAGAAGACAGAAACTACATTAGTGCATATAGGACCTCAATCTTATAAAAGCAGAAACTGGTTCGACTTGTAACAAGACCAATGGAATATTGGTTACACTTATTGAAATGAAGTATAAATTATACTGGTATATATAGATTATAAAATAAAAGTTTCCACTCTAACACTCACAATTAAAGGCAATACATTCATGTGTGTTGCATAGACAGAGAGATGGTACTCGAGTTTCATTCGTCAAAACATGTAATACAATAACAATGGGCCAATAAATTTGCTGCAAAACTTCATCCTAACAGTAGTTTTATCTATTTGGTGTCTATATTCCTTTTGCATATTAACATTCAACAAAGAAACCAAGTGACACGTGAAAATTAGTATTCTACCTATTATGGATTCAAAGGTTCAAGTCTGACACGTGAAAATGCTCATTTCATGTGCTTTAGCCCCATGATTAACTGTTTCATAGTCATCCAATTGAGAATCCATCATTAATATATATATATATATATATATATATATATATATATATATATATACTATAATTTATGTACAAAATCATTATATCTAATGTTAAAAATAATTTCATTAATATAACTTAAACTTTGAAATGTATATTTTATTTTTATTTTTTATTCATACTTTTTTATAAAAAACAGACCAAAATAACTCGCTAGCCTATTGACAGGCATAGGACCAGACAAGGATTAAAATTACAGGTCGGGTCAGAACAACTTTTCAGTTGGCCCATCAGCCTGGACTGTTTAACAGCCCTGACCAGTTTCACACATTCTACCTACTGCAATACTGAAATATGTTTACCGTTTGAGTAACTTTATATTGAGAGTAAAAATTTCGTAAACCACAATAAGAGCTGTATATTTCAGGAGAACACTAATATAATTCTTTGCAGGCAAGCAAATCCATGATAATACCTGTCAGGCTGTCACCCACTCCATTTTTCAGATCAAACATTTTTAGTGCATGGTTGCCACAGATGATGGAATAATATTCCAGATTTTAAAAGGAATATGGTTCTAATGAAGATGATGCTGTTCACAACTTGAACTCAACATTCCCTTCTAACTCACCATTTATTAGAAAACTCTAACCAACAAAGAGGAAAAGGAAAAGATAAAGAATAAGTAAAGCTCTACCTATATCAAATCTAATAAAAAAATGCAGTTTTCCCCCATCCTTCATCCCGGTCTAATCATTTTCATTCAGCCAGGAACTTAAATGATGTCAATAGTGTAAATACCCCATCTTTACAGTTTCAACATGCATGATATGATCTTCCCAATTTGACTATATACACAGAAACTCAGTGTAGAAAACCCTATTGAATCTAATACATGCATTTCTTTCCAAATAAAAAAACATTTATCAGTGCATAACCGTATACTATAAGTACACATGGTGTCATATCATTGGATTAACTAGTATAGTTAACTTTCAGAAAATGTTTCCAGAGTTTTTAAACATGTCAAGTGGCACCACTTGATATATTGATAGTGTAAAACTCTTTATACTGTGGATCCAAATTAAATTCTAAAAAAACTATTATTACATCATTTAACTAGCATCCCTCACCCTTTTTTTGTCCAAATCACATCATCATAACAGATGAAATAAGAAATATGCATATACCTCACAATTGAATCTTTAGGTGGTCTTTCAAATTTTTTAGATCGATTACCAACCCATTCTTTCCTCATTTGATGCCAAGCTATCTCAGCTGCAAGCAAACATAAAAATATACATGAGAACTTTTAACAAGGGTTGCTAAAGTGAAAAAGTTGCGCTTTTCTAAATCAACCACTAAACAGAGTTTCACAAGTCACAACTGTTATAAAGTCAAAAACAGTAAGAGAAGCTACAAACCAAAAAACAGAAAGTTTCTAGTGTAGGTGCACAAAAGAAGAAGAGAGAAAGATGTTATCTACTTCATTAAGGAGCACAGTACAAAAAAGATACTTTTCTGATAAGTTGGTGCATAAATAATATGTAAATCTTAACAAAATAAGGACCACCACTCCTTTCTACCTACTTATTAATCATGCAACCAACTCTACCCTAAAATAAGGATTATCACTTATTTCAACCTAACAAGACATAGTAATACACGAAAAATATCAAATATTAATTATTATATTATAGTATCTAGAAAATCTCAACTTCTAACACTCCTCCTTGAGTTTTTTCTTGGATACCCTAAGCTTTGATCTCAACAATTCAAACTTGTTCGTGGAGAATGCTTTGGTCAAGATATTTATAATCTGATTACTATGCTCTAGGCTGATTTGTTTTTATTTCTCTACTTCTCTAATGACATGACACTTCACCTTTGATATGTTTAGTTCTACCATACTAAACAGGATTCTTTTCAATTGCAATAGTTGACTTATTATCAACCCATATGATAGTAGATTCATCATGTAGATGCCCCACATCATACAAAACTTTTTTAAGCCAAAGGACTTGATTTGCAGCTACTACAGCTGAAATATACTTTGTTTCAGGAGTGGATTGAGCCACCGCCACTTTTTTTTTTCCAAGAGAAAACACCAATACCAAATAAGAAAGCAAAACCTGAGGTGCTTTTGACATCATCTAAACTTCCTCCCCAATCACTATCTGCATATATTTGAAGATCTCCGCTTTCATCCTTTAAAAACCATAAACCATAATAATCAGCTCTATCTCTTAGTACTTATTTTGCTGAACAATAATGAGCTTGACTAGGACATCACATAAATCTGGACAACAAACTTGAAACAAATATTACGTCCAGTCTAGTGCCTGAAAGATACAATAAATGTCCAATTATGCTTCTATAAACAGAAGCATTTGATTTGCTGCTAGCATCTTTCAAAGACCATTTTTCATTTACAAAAAGGTGTTCACTAGTTTAAAATTCTGCATGTGAAACTTCTTCAATATTTCAAACCATATTTTCTTGGTGAAATGAAGATTTCTGCATCACATTGGTGTATCTCCATATCACGATAATAGTTCATTTCTCCCAAATTAGTTATTTCAATTTGAGTTTCCATGTCATGCTAATATTTTCTCAAGGAACCTGAATTACTGCCAATAACCAACAAATCTTCAACATACAAAGACACAATGAGCTACACTTTATTGCTTGATCTTTTTAAATACAAAGTAGCTTCATTTTATCTTTGTTTAAACCCCTTGAAGATAACTGCCAATTCTATTGTACCAGACCCTTGGTGCCTATTTTAATCCATAACGAGCTTTTTAAAGTTTGTAGACTTTGTTTTTACTGCCTAGAACAAAAAAACCTTTAGGTTTTTCAACATAAATGTCCTCTTCAAGCAACCATTTAAAAAGACTGACTTCACATCCAAATGATAAATTTTTCAATCCATTTTTGCTGCCAATGCAACTAACAACCTGATTGTATCATGTCTCGCTACTAGAGCAAAAGTATCTTAAAAAAACTCCATGTTGTTGATGATAGCATTTAAAATTCAATCTTGCCTTAGGTTTGTTCATAGAACCAAAGGATTGAACTTGGTTTTACAAACCCACTTAAGACCAATAACCTTTTCATTAGTTGAATAGTCTACAAGTTGCCATGTTCTATTTTTCTCAATCATATTCATCTCCTCCTGCAGGACACATTACTATTCTAATTCAAGAGCTACATCATATTCTTTTTGTTCTAGTGCAATAATGTTACACCTTTTATAAATTTCAATTAGACTTTTAGTGCCTCTATCTGGAAAATCATCATCTAAATCTTTTTCAATTTTTGAATATTGTTCTTGGAGATTGTCTACCCCAAGTTGATTGTACTTTTGGTTCTAGTGCAACAATTTTCTTCTACTTTGCACGGAAAATCTCGCACAACAATTTTTTTCCATTCTAAAAGAAAAAATAAATTATCTCATATTTTCAAAATGCAAAGCATAATTCCTTTCAAAAATTTGTCCCACATTCAAAAAACGTTGACTTAATTCAAGTACAAATAAAACATCTGAAATGTATTTAGTACCTGAAGGAGTTTCAATAGCAACCACTCTTTTGCCTTTGGCATCAATGCTTTCTCCATTGCCCATAGTTACTTTGAAGCACTAGGACTGATCAAGTTCCTCAAAAAACCTTGTATCATGAGTCATATGGTTGGTGCACTCACTATTGATGAGCCAAACTTCTTTGTTGCTACTTGTAAAATAACAAGAAGCAACAAACAAATGCTCCTGAATTTGCTTTTGGAGCTCAATAACTTGAGCTTGTTGTCCTTGCTACTTTGCCTTGTTTTTGTAAACTTTTTCTAGAAGACTAAGCTAGTTGCAAGCCCTACAATTGTTGCTATCTTCTTCCTTTCTTCCATTGTCATTCTTCCCACCATAAAGTTTTTTCCCATAGTTATTACTGCCTTGAGCTTTGCCTTAGGTGTTAGTCACAAAGGCACCTTCAACATTTTCTTCCATTCTTTGAGATATTTTTTGCTTAGTGGCTTGCAAAGCATTAACAAGCTATGCAAATGAAATCTAAGAAAAATCCTTATTTTCTTAAACACTAGAATTTTCCTCACAACTCTTTGAGCTCTTCATCTAAGAGAGGAGATTTTCGACTCAAATCTCTATGGAAGACACTAGAATTTCCCTCACAATTCTTTGATCTTTAAGCTCTTCATCTAGCAATTTGATATGTGTAGCCACTATTAAAAAAACTCCTTTAATATTTTAAACTGTTTCATTTTGATTGTTTCAAATACTCTACTCAGATTCAGCACCTTTAACTCCTTGTTTTTTCACTGTTTTGGAACTCCTCCTTGAGCTTATCCCAAGCCTCTTTTGCTGTCTCGAGATTCAAGATCTTGAGAAAAACATTATCATATAAAGTTCCATGTATGATGGCAAGTGCTCTACCTTCCTTTGCCCCATCTCAATTATGGAATCTTAATTGAGCAACTATTAAGTTGTTTAGTAAAGGGGCTGGAATTTTCCACCCTTTCTTGCAGAGTTTGAGCTATCAAATAAATTCTAATCTTTGCAGCCCACAAATCATAATTTTCTCCAACAAAAAACTAGTGGTGGAGGTAGATTCATTCTTTCTTATGGGTATTTTCGTTGTTTATATATGAATTTTCTAACTAGTTCACTCCTACACAGGCCCTTAAAAATCATATAACTCTTGATACCGTGTTATAAAGTCAAAAACTAAAAAGCCATAAAACAGAGAAGAGAGTTTCTATTGTAGGTGCACAAAAGAAGAATAGTGAAATATGTTATCTACTTCATTACTGAGTGTAGTAAGAAATATACTGATTAGTCGATACATAAAAGATATGTAAATCTCCATAGCACAAGGTCACCACTCTTTTCTACCTACTCACTGACCATGCAACCAACTCTCCTATAAAATAAGGATTATCACTGATTTCAACCTAAACAAAACAGAACAATACACAGAAAATATCAAATATGATATTTAAGTATCTAGAAAATCTCAATTTCTAACAACATCCTCAACTTTCAAGAGCAAGAGAGCTACTTTATATTTTCTGAAGATTTTAGGACCTGAAAGAATGTATCAAATAGGTTCGCATGATCTTTGTTTAAATCCACAGTTGGGGACTTTTTAAAATTATTCCAATAGAGCATTCATGCTATGCGATATATATATATATATATATATATATATATATATATATATATATATATATATTGATTTAAAGTTAAAAAAGAATACATAAGTCTTGTAAAAAACAGTGTAAGAAAAATATTTCAATACTTATTATAAACGTTACTGATTATGAATATTACTAAGAAAACCAGTACTACATATACACTTACAGTATTACATATATACTTACAAGACACTTGAATGCCTGAAACCACAGGACATATTTGGCATGGTACACATGTAGAAACTTCTTTTGTCTTCTAAACTATAAATGAAAATTAAGAAAAGGGCATACCATGGTTGATGAAGACTTCTTTCTCAGTGGGCTTTTTGCTGGCATCACGTGAACCCTCCGAAGAGCATTTCTGGTGGACATTTGAACTGCTACCATTGAGTTCCATCTTCTATGGGACAATCAACATGCCTTCTAGGCTACTAATCCACATGCAAAGAAATTAAGTACACGGCACTCTGTCAGAGAAAATCATTCCACTAATGATAAAGGGAGTTTAAAGTTTAAGCAATTGAAAAACGCAGGGCAATTCATATTTGGAAACTGAAAAAGCATGACATTTAGAGACAATAACTTTTTTTGAAAAACGACTTGTAAATTGCACATTCAAAACTAAGACTTAATTTTACAAATTACTAGTTTATATTTCTCTATTATTCACTTTTCGGGAACTAAAAGGAAACGCCGCGAGGGAAAAATCAGACATTTTCGCGGAATACTGCGTGAGACCCTGAGATAACCAAACAATTAGCATATTCTACGATATTGACCAAAGGATTATTTAGTATTCATGAAAGGCACACACTTCCCTCTTAGGTGAAAAGCATACCAAATCCAAAGGAGAAGATGATAGACTATTTGGAACAAGGCATGACTGAGGAGCAACGATCCTTACAACTCCTTTTTTATTATAAAACATCGGTTTAACTAATACACACTAACAAAACACACACCTTAAACAAAATAAATACGAAATGAACAAAGAATCAGATAATAACCACTTTATCTTCGCTTATACAAATTTACATTCGCACAAATGCCACAAAACTACACAAAACACAACCAAAACATATTCATTAAAATTAAAAACATATTACCATAGATTCATTGTATCAATTTTCAATTGCAAGAAAGAAATCTATTACTCTTTTAAGGAAACACACACTGCTCTATATTAAAAATATAATCGAATTCGTACTCCATTTTCTGCATTAGGGTAATGGAATGAACAAAAGTAACAGTAAAATAAAACACCAATTAACGGCCAATTGAACAGCGAAGCTTTAGCATGCCTTGACAGAAAAACTAGGCACGAAAGAAAAACAACGTAACCAACTGGATTTAAGATTCACAGCGCAATTTGATATTCAATTTTTACAGCGTTTGGTGTTTACCTACGATGAACGAAGATCCTTCCGAAGATTCCGGTACTTGGGGGGAAGAAAAGTGGAGGAAATTAAATAGGAAAACTTGGACCCAAACCCTACGGTCCGTTTGTTTCAAAATTTTGTTCCCTTTTTTTATAATTAAAGTTTCCTTTTATTTATTTCTTCAAAGAGGTAATATATAGGTTTTTTAAGCAAAGTTCCCTTTTATTTATTTTTTTCAAAGACTAATATATAATTTAGTCCTAGTAGATGAGTTAATATTTTAAGGGATAAAAAATTTTGTTAATTTTTTTTTCAATAGTTATAATTTTTCATTTGACGTCGTTATTCTTTTAAATCTAAAAATATTTTTCTGTACAGATTAATTAAACTCATCAATATGATATCACATTAAAACTACAATGATTACTAATTAGATATAGAAAAAACGATCAACCACCACAATAACCGCCAACCAAACCACTATCTTCAACAACACCGCCTACGACATAACACAAAGTTAACATCACAATTTCACAAACAAAACCACACACGAATATCACACACAACACATGCATCAAGACTTGATTGTGAGTAAGAGGAACCGATTTTAGGCATAAAATAAGATAGGAGAATCGATTGTGAAAATAGGAGAATCAAATATGAAAAGAAGAAAATCTATTTTAGAAATATGAGAATCGATTCTGAAAAGAGATTATCAATTTTGTTTAATAATTACATGAAAAGAGAATCAATTTTGTCCAAAAATTAGAAAAAAGAGAATCAATTTTATGTTGTTTTATAATCGATTCTTTAACCTTTGGTTATTATTATTATGTCATCAATCCTCTATCAAGTCGAACTCCTACACTGGTTCATTCGTACCTCACCAATACACACCTCATGTTTGATTCCAACCATGACGAAGTTTAACACTGAGCTTCACAAATGCACCACACGAACCAAATCAATCCACTACCACCCAGATTCACAATTGCAACATAGGAATCACTAAGAGAATGACACAAACTCGAAACCAACATTGTCTTTCAAATGAACAACACGAATCACAACCAAATCCACCACAAAACTCAACCCTCACAACATAAATACACAAATCACCATTCATTCATGGATTTTTAATAACGTATTTAAAACTTCAACTACCATGGTCTAGTCAATGCGTATAGAGAATCTCTACTATTGATCGTTATGCCTTTAAGAATCTCGTCAAGAATCTTTGCATGTTGCAAATGCATAATTGAAAAACAATAAAATCACATGTCATGCATGATCTAAAAATTGAAAGTCACAATTAAAAATTCAAGACCAAAATTGTATTTTAATATCATATGAATTGACTTTCTATTATTTTCTCCTCAATCGAGTGAAAACATTTCTCATTTCAATCTTATAAATTCATAGTTATATTTCCTTTTAAATAACTTGATCGAAATTACACACTCACCTTTTTATTTTTTACTAGAGTATATCAAATAAAACCAACAGAGACGTAAAGTAAGAGAAATTACGTGAAATAGTATAATTAAGAATATTTTAAGATAAAAGAGAAATTATAAGTTTTTATAAATGGTATTGAAAAAAATAACATATAATTATAAGAAAAAGGATGAAATATTAAAATAAAAAATATTAAGTTAATTAAGAGTATTTTAAAAGGAGAGAGAAATGTTAGTTTTTTACTAACTATATTGAAAAAAAATAAAAGAAACATATAATTATAAAAAGAGAAGATAAAATATTAGAATAAATAAAATATTAAACAATAAAAAAAACATTTATAAAGGGGATCTCATTCATATATTGCTAGCAGAAACACATCATTCATACATTTGTGTGTTTGTATTTTTTATTATCATTTTTATAAAATAATACTTTTATTTATAATTAAAGATATGAAAATGAAAAAAGATAACGTGTAATTGAGAGTGTTTTAAGAAAAAACAAAGTAAATGACACAGAAAGTGTGATTGAAGATGTTTGAAGAGGATCGAGAAATGGTAGTAATTTATTGATTATATTAAAGAAAATAAAATGAATATACAATTATAGAAGAGAAAAGATAAACAATTAAGATAAATAAAATATTAAATTATGACACCAAATAAGTAGTAACAAAGAAAATTCTTTTTACATATTTTATAGATTATTATAAATTAGTAAAAATATAGATATGTGAATATAATTAATTTTTTATTATTATTATTTTTTACTCTTTAAATATATCTCACGTTAATTTTTTTACTTATTATATATGATAAAATAGGTGTGTAAAATAAATATTTAAAATTTTTTGTATTATTATTATTAAAACATTAAATTTTTTTTTATATTTATAAGTTAATTATATTTTTAAGTTATTATTTTAAAATGTTAATAAATATGAAATATATAATTTTAAAAAATATTTAATAAGTTGATTCTTATTTAATTAGTATAAAATAATAATTTTTTTAATTATTAATTTGTGTAATTCTTCAAATTAAAAAAATGTGATAATAAAATCTAATATACATAAACTAGAAATAAAATAATATTAGGTATTTATGATATTAATATTTTGAGAAAGATAGAAAAATAAGAGAAGTTAATTTTGTTATTGGTTGAAGAGTTTGAAAAAACTAAATGATTGAGAAAAATTAAGAAAATGTGAAGGAATAAAAGTGAGAAAAAAATAATGTAATGAAGTGATGAAAAATAAAATAATAAAAAGTGGATAAAAAAAATAAAAGCAATTATCTTATATATATAACCTGAAAAAGAAAAAGAAATACTTTAAAATGATTAATAAATTTAAAATTTAGATTAAAATATTAAATTCTAGCATGGCAAAAATGATTACGTTACTATTCCAATATCTATATTATAAAATCTAATAAGTCAGATTAATTACTATTTTCGATCAATAAATTAATAAAACATAAATAATGATAATAAAAAATAAATTTTTAACTCTTATTTTAAAATTGAATAAATCTATTATAATTTATATATTAAATTATTAAATAAAAATTAATTTTATTAATATAATTTAAATTTCAAAAATATATTTTTTATTATTTATTTTTATTTAATTTTTAACAATATCAAATTTGAGGTTTTAATTATTGGTCTCACATAAGATAATATTAAAAATTATGATAAATTAAAAAATATATATCAAATTATTAAAATTTTTTGTTTACTTTACCAGAGACTGGGTTGTAGTACTGTTTTGAGAACTTTATTTGTAGTACTGTTTTGAGAACTTTATTTAGGCTTAGTTTTAATGGACTTAATTTATGCTAGTTGTAGGTTTGTAGATTTATTCTAGACTGGTGGTAAGTTATACGTTTCATAAAATAATATTAATTTATTAATATATATTATAAATTAATTTAATAAAAAATTTATTGAAATTAAATTTTTAATATTCACTTATTTCAAAATTTAATAATTAAGATAAATTATTATTTTATATAATTAGATTAGTTAAAAATTATAATAATAAAAAAAAATTTAGATGGGAATGAATATATATTTTCTTATAATTTATATATTAAATTATTTTATTGAAAATAAAGATTAATTTTATTAATATAACTTAATTTTTAAAATATAATATTTTATTTGTATTGAATTTTTTAATTAATTATTATTTATTTTCAATCAAATTTAACTTATTAACCCATTATCCTATCATATATTAACGACAAATTATAAACAATTTTTAAAGATAGATAAGGTGGAACGAATTATCTGCTTTGATAACTCTTAGGGCAATATTGAAAATATTGATTGGAACTTACTTTGGTAAGATTTTTGTATTTAATATGAAAGTTAGTGAACTAAGTAGTTTGTGTGAGTAAATGAATTAGACGTAACTCTCGTATTCACAATAAACTGATTATGGGTTTAACTTTTCTTGTCTATCATACATTTAATTATTCATACACTACTAGTTGCAATTTATATTAATATAATCTATTATTATTATCATTACATCACTAACCAATTGACG